TTTGATTTTTAAAAGAAAATCAAAAACTTAAAAGAAAATTTTATATATGAACTTAATGATAAAATGACTTTCAGGTCCATAAAAACTCAAAAATATTGTTTATTCACTTTGCATACACTGCGAAAAATTCTGTGTGTAAATATTTTTTTCGGCCCTGTACGTATGTGGATAATTAAAGTTTTTTTTTACATTCAATACCCATCTACTATGCAAAACAAAAAAGTATAACGTGGTTTAAAATTTACAAAGCATTTATTTTTAGATTTTATAGAAAAATCTAATCGTAATTCTTACCTGTAAGGTTAGGTCATGTTTACAATTTAAAAAACTAAAATATGGAGAATGCCCGTGGCCCGCAACACGGAAAGAGCCTATGGGCCCATAGATGCTAAATCCGTCACTGCGCACATACATATTTGTGTATGTATTTAAAAAAAAAAACAAGTTTGTTTGGCTATCTATAAGGGGTACATATTTATATTATATTTTATTAAGACACATTTGAAAATTTGCTGTGGCCTAAAATCTTTAGAAACTGCGCCTATTTCAATTTTGGATAGGAAAACCGCCATTTCGTATTTTTCAAAAGCAAATATATAATATGTACATAAGGGTGCGTCACTCTCCAAACAGAAAAAACGGCACTGCTATATTTATGACTTCCGCCCAAAATATTTCCGAAAAATATTAGGAGTTAGATGAGCCTGGCCGATTTGAAAAACTTGCAAATATAAATTTTTTTTTTATAAATAAAATAATTTTTTAATATGTTTTTACCAAAAATTCACCGCATATGAGAGAATAGTTTAAGATTAAAAGGTCTGCATAAAAATATTTAAAAACTTTATCAACGGCATCAAAGAAAAAAGAGATTTTTGGAAGTAATTTTAAACGACCCAGTTCATGTAAATAAATTTTAATGCTTTTCGGAAATATTTTGGCGAACGTCTTAAAATAGAATAAATATTTACTACTATTTCGCTGGAAAAATTGCAACTTTTTTTCTGATGGGACACCCTAATGTACATATATCCCAAGTAGTTCGGCCTGCCGCATCACCCTGTACATAAACACTTTTAGTTACTCATACTCAAATGCCGCAGATGCATTATCAGTGTCTACATCCAACTTACATTGAAGTTATGCTGCACTTGCAACAGCTGCAAAGCAACTATGTATGTATGGACTTACACACATACAGCGTGCAAAACAGAGCTATGTTAGCAGCTACCAAACGCGCCATTCAAGGTTGGGACAGAGCAATGTGCGCAAATTACCAACCGCAACAGCATTCAATGTCAAGTCCGTCAATTCCTAGCGTAGCCGCTTGGCGCTGCCAACAAAGTGCAAGTTTTCAAGTTTCACACAGCCAAAGCATGTCTCAGCATCTCTTTAATTTATGCAAATGCGGTTAAGTTGGCATTTTAAATAAAAGATTTTTCACTTGAAATTAAATTTTAAAATTCAATACTTATTGTTGCAGGTTTTTCGATAGTAAAGCGCACATTTTAGGGGTTCATTTCAGTTTCGTAACTTCATTGAATTTCAAGTTTTGTATTATGTATTAAAATAGTATTTAATTTTATTCTTAGATACTTATTTATTAAGCAGTCAAACTTCTTCGCCTATAAATATTAAATTCGAAATTATCTTTGCCGCTTAAATAAAGGAGTTACATTATAAGAACAAAGACCTAATCAATGTATGGGATATACCAATATTGTTCGCTTCTAATAAATGATTAATATTTAAATACATTTAGTTTTAGTCGAACATTTCGTTCAAACAAAAAACAATCGGAGGTGACTAAATCGACTCAGCTCGTTGCCCTGATTCTTCTTCTTTTTGATTGGCGCTATAGCCGCTAAAGTGATTTTGACCAAGTTTAACTTAACGTGCCAGACGCACCTCTTTCTAGATACTTGGCGCCAATAAGGAACATTGAGTGCCTTACTATCTACTCAGCTCAAAGTAGCACTTTTTTGCGAATTCGACAGGACAGAAATTTTTACTTGCAAAAAAAAAACTTTGCAAAATCAGACGTTCTAATTAATAATCTATTGTTTTTGCTGTCGATAAAATGTCTTTTCCCGAAATGTGTTGTTAATTGTTAAAATCCCAACACGTAGCAAAATGCTTGTATGTGAGTAGCTTAGACCGGAAGTAGCTGATTGCCAAAATAATTTTTCCAGAACTTTTATTGTATGTTTTAGGTACATTTGAATAAATAATAATTAATATATGCAAATAGATAAATGCCTGCTTACATATACATATGTATGTAAAATAGGGTGGTCCAAAAACAGTAAAGTCGGAATTGTAACACTCTCGCCCCCTAGGATTGTTCTATATCGAAGTAAAGTATATCCCCATTTTTTTTATTTTGAAATCAAAAAATTTTTCGAGGTCGCTCAAAGCGGTCAAAGTTTTCCATGTATTTTTATATAGAAATGATATAGAATTCTTGCAAATCAATATTTTTCGATCGGAAAACCCTGGTTCTCTTCGGGAGACTTTCAGAATACACAATTGGTTACTTAAAATGGCTAAATAAACAATTGGGTATTATTATTGGAAAGCTCCTGTATAGAATAATCCTAAGGGGTGAGAGCATAAAAATTCCGACTTTACTTTTTCACATGCATTTTTGGACCACCCTAATGTACAACAATGAAATAACGGGTGATTTTTTTGAGGCTAGGATTTTCATGCATTAGTATTTGACAGATCACGTGGGATTTCAGA